TTACTACACTCACTGCCAAAAGTTAAGCACGGAGCAGTTGCTCCGTGCTTAACTTTTGGCAGTGAGTGTAGAATCCGTCTACAATTCAGCAATGCTTGCAGTTTACAGTGATTGCAGGGTTTGGAACCGATTCACTATTTCAACTAAAAGTCATTATTTTCGCAAAATGTCACTAAATCTCTTCTGGAAACATGATGATATCGTATTTATGCTCACTTTTACGACGTTTTGAGAGCTGAGAAATGAAGTACGAATTAGATTTGAAGTATAAACGAGGAGCTCGAAAGTAAAACGTGTTAAGTGACAGTATCGTTTCCAATATTATAGCATGTTAACTGTAATTTGGTCAGATTTACTATGGTTATTTCATTTTACGTCATTTGAGTGTTGCCCATGTATCGAAATTTCATTGATTTTAATTGAAATTATTTACATGAACAAGTTTTACATGCTATAAATTTTTAATTTACAGTTATGAAATCTATCTTTATAGTCTACTAAGCCCAGTGGCGGAGTAGATAAAATCACTGAATGCCTGTAGTTGGCTGTGGGTTCCCGCCTGGCCAACGGGCTGACCACCAGGAGTTTACCTTAGTAACACCTAAATAGTGACAGGTTTTCCATTGAAAGTCCTCCCAGGAGGCATCCACTAGGCAGATGGGCCGTAACCAAACCAAACCTATAGTTCATAAAAACAACTAATTTTTTAAAATGAAAATATAGGCCCTGACGGATCACCGTTTTTAAATTAGTTACTTTTTCTCAACTATTTTCGTGATTTATCACTCACTATTTCTCAGTTTTTCTGCCGTTGTAATCAACGTGGCATTTTCGACGCCAAATTGCCACGTGTTAGCCTACATCACTAATTAATATTTGAGAACCTAAATTGCGCCATGGATGACTTTTGTCTGGCCGTTACACTGAAAATTCCAAGTTATCATTTGATTTACGAGGCTTGAAGTAGTGATATCTGGTTATCCGTACGCATGGGTACGTACCCGTTTAAAAATTGCATGTGTAATATGAAAATCGTAAATGTGCAAAATGATTTTTCCTATTATTTAATCTGTTTAGTCATTTTTAGTTTAACTTTTTTCTAATGAATTATCATTTTGAAGTTTTCAAAGATCAGTTTGCAAACAAAAATTTTTAAGTAGCCAAGTAAATCTTTCTAGGATCGCGGAATTATTGAAATTATTAAGACAATTAATAGGTCAATAATTTCAATAGTCTTAATAGGTCTTAATAGTCTTTTTAATATGTTTTAATTATTATTTTTTATTAAATCCGTTAGAAAAGTATAAATTTATTAAATTGTTCTTTAATAAATTTTACAAATTTTATGAAGTATTAATTAATAAGCCGGGAAAAATTTAATCAGAAATTATTTCGTTACTCAATCAAAATTATTAAATTGAAAATTGGAAAATGATGATAGGATTAGTACCATTTAAATTATAATTATTTTTAATTCTTTGGAAAAGGCATGGGAAAAATGTAAAATTTTATTGAAAGCAGCTATTACTATTGTTTGTTTTAATATAAATTATTTGCAATTATAGCAAGTTACTTCCATATATGTTTTTCTGAAATTTCAATAGAAATTGCTTTTTTTTCGAAAAACATTTAAGTGATATATTATTTTAAAAATGTAATTCAAAAACATCCCACAACGATTCCTTTAAATTAAAAATTCATGATTCTTTATTTTCATTTATATACGGTATTACAAAGAAATTCTATGAAATGACTTAATTAATGAATATATAAATTTTCTAAATAATTATACAAAAATTAGATATAATTTATGTAGGGGAACCCGGGGCGGAATGGAAAAGACGATTTACATATGAAAGAGAGGTGAGGGAATTGGTTCGCTCCCTGTCCTACACTCAGACTGCGACAACACGTCAGTGTGAATACTTGGTTACCGAGATTCGCTTTGTCGTTGACCAATAAAACCTTACGTCGTGATTTTTTGATGAAATTACAAGTGGTATCAACATTAAAACAATGAAATTATATGCTATATTTTATAATTAAACCAAATTTATATAGTCTATTTCAGGGCCGGCGTGGCCTTTTGCGGGGCCAGAATACATTCAAATCCTATAATTAAATTTCACAATAATTATTTACTATAAGTACAAAGGATGTTACATACATTTTTTGTAAGATGAATATTACATAATTTTTCATGCTTTTTTCGCTGCAAAATCTTTGATTACGTCATTAAAATTGATTGAGTTCGCTACTTCGCTTTCTATTGAAAGAATAGACAGAGATGTAAATCGGTCTTGACTTATTGATGATCGAAGATAATTTTTTATTAGTTTCAACCGCGAAAAACTAACGCAGTATCTATTATTTTCAAAAAATAATGTATACGGAAGTATTCTTCGTCGCAACACGCTGCAACGAAATATTCAATGTAAAGGCGGGAGAGAAAATCTTGTACTCATGCCAGTGTACAGCAAGTTATCATCGATTAGTGGATTATGCGATTGCATTTTCCACACACACCTGAATATTCAATCTACTATAAAAGGGGTCCTGCAAAATGTCTGATGAGTTTTCGTACACCGCAGGGCCGGGTTCCAGCGAACGCGCTGGATCTGCCTCGCGCCGGTTCTGGTCTAGTTTATTAAAGATTTGTTTGTTTGTATTTTTAGAATGAAACAACGCAAAAAGTAATCATAAATTTTTTCTCTACTTGGTTTTTAGAAGCATGTGCTTTGGGGCATAATGGGACGGTTTCCCTTAAAGGAAAATTAAAAGAAAAAGGGGAAAAAACAAAGTTTAGTAAAAAAAAGAACAAGGAACGATTACTTGGAAGGAGAAGATAATACGACTTGTCTTTACTGCACCGAGGCTTACTCAGTCGATTGAGGGTTAATGTTCATGTGTAGCATGCAAAAAATGGGCTCATATGTCTTTTGCGGGTTTTGACAGCGACGATGACGATTCCGTGCTGGTTTGCGAGTTTTGTAAGCAACAAGATTAATATATTTTTTTCCCCCTGATATTTCAGCACTAATCTCATACCCCATTCTGCCCCCAAGTACTGGGCGGAACGGAATGTGGGCAAGCTTTTTTTCATGATTTATTTTTCATACAAAATTATTAAATTTTTTTATTTAATTTAAATAATTATGTGCCAAATATAATAAATAAAAGATATAATGTAATATATTTTTGTTATTTTCCTTTTATTGCTGACACAATTTTAATTTTTTTGTTAACTACCCCATTCCGCTTCGGGTTTCCATAAATGTATGAAATATTTAAATACGAAAATAAAAATATAAAAGAAAATGATGACATTGCAAAGATATTAAAATAATAAATAATAAGATTTTTGCAATGTTGTCATTTTGATAAGTTGATTAATTAATATATGATAAAATAAAATTATCAGAAAATGTTTTGTTCTGTAAAAGATATAAATTTAAATTATTGCGTTTCGAAAATGCGAACATCAATCTATGTGTTCTTGATTGCCATTTTGTTCTGGTATCCAAGATTTATCTTTTGTTTTACATTCTCAGAAAATTCTTGCACCATATCGAAGTTAAAAATATGCACACCAGATGTTCCTGATAATGGTACGTATGAAATTATTTACTTTAATCATCAATAAAATTATTTAAGTATTGTACATTTAAATTACCGAAATGATTAATTCTAGATGGTTTAACAAGACCTCAACAAACTGTTAATTATCATCTCGGTCCCAGAGATTGTTCTGAAATTCGAAATAATGGTGTTACTAAATCTGGAGTTTATAGAATTTGGCCATTAAACTGGCAAATCTATGGTAGTTTTCAAGTTTATTGTGATATGGAAACCGACGAGGGAGGTTGGACCGTACGTAAAGTATTGTATGATTTACTTTATAGTAAATCAAAATATTGATTTTGAAAATTTTTTAGGTTTTCCAAAGAAGAGGAAAATTTAATGCTCCAAAAAATTATTTTGATGGCACCTGGTCTGATTATAGTGTTGGATTTGGTCATTTAATGAAAGAGTTTTGGTTAGGTAAAGCATAAAAATAACTGATATAACAATGGTAATTTTAAAAGTGGGCTTATATTAAAAATTGATGCCTTATTGCAGGAAATGAAAGAATTTTTTCCTTAACAAATCAAGGGAACTATTCTCTTAGAGTCGACTTGAAAGACGAAGAAGGTAACAAAGTTTATGCATTATACAATGAATTCTGGATCGAAAACGAAAGACAACGATACAGACTACATGTTTCTGGTTACAGTGGAAATGCCGGTGAATTATTTTCTGAACTTTTGTTTTATTGAGTAACTTGCAACGTGACGTAATTATCTTATTTTCTTCTAGGCGATTCATTATCTGACCATAATAATTTGATGTTTACCACGAAAGATAGGGATAACGATTATTCACCAAGTAACTGTGCAGATTTATACAAAGGAGCATGGTGGTACTTTGACTGCCATGCTTCTAATTTGAATGGCCTTTATCTGGATGGTCCTCATAAGTCAATTGGTAGTGGAGTGATTTGGTATAAATGGAAAGGATATTATTACTCTATTCCGGTAGCGGAAATGAAAATGCGACGAACTTAGGAAAGTAATTATTTACAACAATTATTTAAAATAATCAAACTATTTCTATAAAAACTTATGAATTAATGATATAATCGTTGTGAATGTCGTAATTTATGAGAATTTTGTATTGATTTTAAACACTAAAGAAATAAATTTAATATAAAATTTGAATTGATTATTTGTTCTGAAATCTCTTTTATAGCAAAATCAACTAATCGAATAAATAGTTATTCTCCATTTGAGAAGTATGTTTTGCAATACATTCTTCTGGAGGCGCGATTACATATCTTGAATTTTATTTGTAACTGGAACTGTGAAAATATTTCTATCATTATATTCTTCATTATTTTACTAAAATAAGCATTTTGTAATATTTTTAATAATTAAAATAGGGTAGACTCTACGGCTTTAAGGAAATTATCACTACAGATTGTGAATGATTACAGATAAATTAAATTCTTAAAGAAATGAAAGCTACAAGATTTAAATTGCTTTATATCATACTTTATTGATAAACCTAACATATAGATTGATAGTACAGTAGTTATAATTAATTATAAAACCTACGTAATGACGAAATTATCCCGGTAACAGAGGTGATAACGCCAGGCCACACAGTAATGCTATCATTCATATTAATGACGCCATTACTGTGTGGCCATTTGTAAGTAAATTAATTTACTTACGATTATATAATACAGTGGAACCTCGGTATAAGACCTTAATTCGTTCCCGATGTTTAGACTTATACCGAATTGGACGTACACCAAACCAACCTTTCCCATAAGAAGTAATGTAAAAATGATTAATCCGTTCTCGTGTAAAAAAATGGCTGGCTTTAAACACCTCGGTTTCCTGTCTAGTTCCTGCTTGATTTTTCTTGAGATCAGCGTGTATCTTTTTAGCTTTCTCGCAAATAATTGCTTCCGATACGCTGTATCCAGCACTGTTTTTCAGTTATCCAAAGTAAAAGCAATTTCTCGACATGATCTAANTTCGGGCTTTGGGTTGTTGTTATTTATACTGAGTAATTATAACTTAAGCTGCAAAAAATTTACAAACTAGCAGAAAGTTTTGGAGAACATATCAACATTTGGACATTTTTCAAAAGTTTCTACTTGGCTGTAAGTTTTGGTTGTTTAAGTTATAGATAGAATTCCTCTTTAAGAAGGAAAAAGCAGTATCTTTACATTTATGGAAAATCTAGGCATTAGGGGCTGTCCATAAATTATGTCTGCATTTTTCTTGAAATTTTTACTCTGCCTCTCCTATTCTCCTATTGTCCCTGTTTGTCCCCTCCCTCTCTTCAAACATCCACAAAACCTAATCTCCCTCAAAACCTTTATTATTTTGTGAATAATAAAATGCATAAACTGTATAAAATTTAATAAAATAAAATGGACATCCTTTGAAGTTCAACCCCTCCCCCTTGTCCCACTTTATGCCACTTGTCATATCCCCTCCCTCCCTTTCAGTGTGGACATCATTTATGGAGAGTGGCTTATAGAAGTTTTATAAGATTTTCTATTACTTGATGTGAGAAACACTTTATAAATATAATATTAAACTTACAATTTTATAAATTTTTATTAAATTTATTTTTATTGTGTATTATGAAGTTTTTAATTAAGTTACTTATATCTTTTAGGAACTATGAAAGCAGCAATAGAACTTGTTCAGCAAGTTGGAACAATTGTATCAGAATGTATTGTAATTATAGAGTTAATGGACTTACATGGAGGACATGACTTGTCTGTTCCACACTTTTCTCTTGTTAAACTTTAGTTTTTTTAAGTTTTTTATTTTATTTGAAATCTAAACTTTACTTGTTAGATATAAAATTATATTTAAAATTTATTATTTTTTAATCAAGAGATATAAATGAATATAAATAAAAATTTTTAAAGAAAATCTTAAACGATTACTGAATTAAATTGATTTTAAATTTAGTAATTGTGATTTTATGAACATTAAAATTTTAATAATTTTAAAAACTTTATTTTTTATATAATTAAAAAAATATTGGGTTCAGGGAAACATAAATATCAATTGAACATTTAATTGAGTTACCTATGAAGAAAGAACATTGAAATGGTAAAATAGAGCAATATTTACAACTATGCTATAGATATATAGGAATACCATCAATTTTTTGGTACTTTTGATTCTGGAGCATTGCAAATCGTTTAGTTTATCTGATCAACAGAAATCATGTAATAATATATATAATTTAGCAATAGTTATATTAAAAAAATATAATTTAACATTACACCCTTGACCTATTTATTATACTCATTCCATGTCTAAACTGGTTTTTAACTTGGGATACAAGCATCCCTGAAGATGTGAGGCACCATTTGAAAATACAAGAGCCATAAAAGTATTAAAGATGTTTACAAACTATAAATTATAATTTTATTTCTGATATTAATTAAGAGTTAATAATGAAATACCTTGGAAAACTGTTTTTTACCTTATTAAATCCATAAAATCTTTATTAGTTTGTATTCAATTTTTTAGTAACTTGATATTCTTTTGAACTTCTGTTTAAACATTAACAAGTTCCATCAAAGGAAGAAATTTTATCCTGGGTGATATATTATTGTAATTACAGATTCAATAAAGCGCTGATTCATCTATCAATCTTTACTTTCTTTCTTTTTTTTTCAGAAGAGTCTGTTTATTTAAATGTGAAATTAATAAAAATGCACAAATTTCAAATCTAGATTATATATTGTTCTAAATACATAACATAAGCATAAATGTTTTTATATTGGTGAACTGAGCACAGACGAATTTTCTTTCTTAATAATCTTTGAGCCAGACTGACGATAGGCTAGAGCAGTGGTTCCCAACAAGGTCTATATAAATAGGGTTGGACACAAACGTTACCTTGCTTAATTAAGGAGCCGCCATTTTGGGGCTTTTGAATAGTGTAGGTTTTAAACTTGTACGAGCAGTTAGTTTTTATACGACATTAAACTAAAATTACGTAAAACTAGTGAGATTCCAGTCTAATAATAATTTCGTATGATTATGCAATCAATTTTACGTAACTTGATAAAAATGCTCTTTAAACCATTTTGATCATAGGTTCGTTAGACACCCTGATCAAGTCTTGATCAGGGTGTCTAACGAACCTGGAAACCAGGAAATGTCAGGGCATTTATTAGACCAGGAGAAAAGTCATGAGAATCTCGGGGAATTTGGTATTTAAACCTATTAAAATAAATGAAAAATTTATGGTATAACCACATTATTAAAGAATATAACAAGGTTCTCCAAGATACATGCTTTCACACGCCGTTAGCGAAAATTCACGATTACCAAATAGAAATATCAATCGTATGAAACTTGTCTCCTCGTGTGTCCTAACATCGCTGAACGTCAACAGGTTTTTGTCGCTCAGAGACATCTCTGGGACAAGAAATCGTCTAGTGTGTCACGGCCTTCAGCAGTTAGTTTCTTTTGGAAGTCGGATTGTAACTGGTTTCAAAGTGTCGTTCGAGTAAACGGTATGTACACTCACTGCCAAAAGTTAAGCACGGAGCAGTTGCTCCGTGCTTAACTTTTGGCAGTGAGTGTAGAATCCGTCTACAATTCAGCAATGCTTGCAGTTTACAGTGATTGCAGGGTTTGGAACCGATTCACTATTTCAACTAAAAGTCATTATTTTCGCAAAATGTCACTAAATCTCTTCTGGAAACATGATGATATCGTATTTATGCTCACTTTTACGACGTTTTGAGAGCTGAGAAATGAAGTATGAATTAGATTTGAAGTATAAACGAGGAGCTCGAAAGTAAAACGTGTTAAGTGACAGTATCGTTTCCAATATTATAGCATGTTAACTGTAATTTGGTCAGATTTACTATGGTTATTTCATTTTACGTCATTTGAGTGTTGCCCATGTATCGAAATTTCATTGATTTTAATTGAAATTATTTACATGAACAAGTTTTACATGCTATAAATTTTTAATTTACAGTTATGAAATCTATCTTTATAGTCTACTAAGCCCAGTGGCGGAGTAGATAAAATCACTGAATGCCTGTAGTTGGCTGTGGGTTCCCGCCTGGCCAACGGGCTGACCACCAGGAGTTTACCTTAGTAACACCTAAATAGTGACAGGTTTTCCATTGAAAGTCCTCCCAGGAGGCATCCACTAGGCAGATGGGCCGTAACCAAACCAAACCTATAGTTCATAAAAACAACTAATTTTTTAAAATGAAAATATAGGCCCTGACGGATCACCGTTTTTAAATTAGTTACTTTTTCTCAACTATTTTCGTGATTTATCACTCACTATTTCTCAATTTTTCTGCCGTTGTAATCAACGTGGCATTTTCGACGCCAAATTGCCACGTGTTAGCCTACATCACTAATTAATATTTGAGAACCTAAATTGCGCCATGGATGACTTTTGTCTGGCCGTTACACTGAAAATTCCAAGTTATCATTTGATTTACGAGGCTTGAAGTAGTGATATCTGGTTATCCGTACGCATGGGTACGTACCCGTTTAAAAATTGCATGTGTAATATGAAAATCGTAAATGTGCAAAATGATTTTTCCTATTATTTAATCTGTTTAGTCATTTTTAGTTTAACTTTTTTCTAATGAATTATCATTTTGAAGTTTTCAAAGATCAGTTTGCAAACAAAAATTTTTAAGTAGCCAAGTAAATCTTTCTAGGATCGCGGAATTATTGAAATTATTAAGACAATTAATAGGTCAATAATTTCAATAGTCTTAATAGGTCTTAATAGTCTTTTTAATATGTTTTAATTATTATTTTTTATTAAATCCGTTAGAAAAGTATAAATTTATTAAATTGTTCTTTAATAAATTTTACAAATTTTATGAAGTATTAATTAATAAGCCGGGAAAAATTTAATCAGAAATTATTTCGTTACTCAATCAAAATTATTAAATTGAAAATTGGAAAATGATGATAGGATTAGTACCATTTAAATTATAATTATTTTTAATTCTTTGGAAAAGGCATGGGAAAAATGTAAAATTTTATTGAAAGCAGCTATTACTATTGTTTGTTTTAATATAAATTATTTGCAATTATAGCAAGTTACTTCCATATATGTTTTTCTGAAATTTCAATAGAAATTGCTTTTTTTTCGAAAAACATTTAAGTGATATATTATTTTAAAAATGTAATTCAAAAACATCCCACAACGATTCCTTTAAATTAAAAATTCATGATTCTTTATTTTCATTTATATACGGTATTACAAAGAAATTCTATGAAATGACTTAATTAATGAATATATAAATTTTCTAAATAATTATACAAAAATTAGATATAATTTATGTAGGGGAACCCGGGGCGGAATGGAAAAGACGATTTACATATGAAAGAGAGGTGAGGGAATTGGTTCGCTCCCTGTCCTACACTCAGACTGCGACAACACGTCAGTGTGAATACTTGGTTACCGAGATTCGCTTTGTCGTTGACCAATAAAACCTTACGTCGTGATTTTTTGATGAAATTACAAGTGGTATCAACATTAAAACAATGAAATTATATGCTATATTTTATAATTAAACCAAATTTATATAGTCTATTTCAGGGCCGGCGTGGCCTTTTGCGGGGCCAGAATACATTCAAATCCTATAATTAAATTTCACAATAATTATTTACTATAAGTACAAAGGATGTTACATACATTTTTTGTAAGATGAATATTACATAATTTTTCATGCTTTTTTCGCTGCAAAATCTTTGATTACGTCATTAAAATTGATTGAGTTCGCTACTTCGCTTTCTATTGAAAGAATAGACAGAGATGTAAATCGGTCTTGACTTATTGATGATCGAAGATAATTTTTTATTAGTTTCAACCGCGAAAAACTAACGCAGTATCTATTATTTTCAAAAAATAATGTATACGGAAGTATTCTTCGTCGCAACACGCTGCAACGAAATATTCAATGTAAAGGCGGGAGAGAAAATCTTGTACTCATGCCAGTGTACAGCAAGTTATCATCGATTAGTGGATTATGCGATTGCATTTTCCACACACACCTGAATATTCAATCTACTATAAAAAGGGTCCTGCAAAATGTCTGATGAGTTTTCGTACACCGCAGGGCCGGGTTCCAGCGAACGCGCTGGATCTGCCTCGCGCCGGCCCTGGTCTAGTTTATTAAAGATTTGTTTGTTTGTATTTTTAGAATGAAACAACGCAAAAAGTAATCATAAATTTTTTCTCTACTTGGTTTTTAGAAGCATGTGCTTTGGGGCATAATGGGACGGTTTCCCTTAAAGGAAAATTAAAAGAAAAAGGGGAAAAAACAAAGTTTAGTAAAAAAAAGAACAAGGAACGATTACTTGGAAGGAGAAGATAATACGACTTGTCTTTACTGCACCGAGGCTTACTCAGTCGATTGAGGGTTAATGTTCATGTGTAGCATGCAAAAAATGGGCTCATATGTCTTTTGCGGGTTTTGACAGCGACGATGACGATTCCGTGCTGGTTTGCGAGTTTTGTAAGCAACAAGATTAATATATTTTTTTCCCCCTGATATTTCAGCACTAATCTCATACCCCATTCTGCCCCCAAGTACTGGGCGGAACGGAATGTGGGCAAGCTTTTTTTCATGATTTATTTTTCATACAAAATTATTAAATTTTTTTATTTAATTTAAATAATTATGTGCCAAATATAATAAATAAAAGATATAATGTAATATATTTTTGTTATTTTCCTTTTATTGCTGACACAATTTTAATTTTTTTGTTAACTACCCCATTCCGCTTCGGGTTTCCATAAATGTATGAAATATTTAAATACGAAAATAAAAATATAAAAGAAAATGATGACATTGCAAAGATATTAAAATAATAAATAATAAGATTTTTGCAATGTTGTCATTTTGATAAGTTGATTAATTAATATATGATAAAATAAAATTATCAGAAAATGTTTTGTTCTGTAAAAGATATAAATTTAAATTATTGCGTTTCGAAAATGCGAACATCAATCTATGTGTTCTTGATTGCCATTTTGTTCTGGTATCCAAGATTTATCTTTTGTTTTACATTCTCAGAAAATTCTTGCACCATATCGAAGTTAAAAATATGCACACCAGATGTTCCTGATAATGGTACGTATGAAATTATTTACTTTAATCATCAATAAAATTATTTAAGTATTGTACATTTAAATTACCGAAATGATTAATTCTAGATGGTTTAACAAGACCTCAACAAACTGTTAATTATCATCTCGGTCCCAGAGATTGTTCTGAAATTCGAAATAATGGTGTTACTAAATCTGGAGTTTATAGAATTTGGCCATTAAACTGGCAAATCTATGGTAGTTTTCAAGTTTATTGTGATATGGAAACCGACGAGGGAGGTTGGACCGTACGTAAAGTATTGTATGATTTACTTTATAGTAAATCAAAATATTGATTTTGAAAATTTTTTAGGTTTTCCAAAGAAGAGGAAAATTTAATGCTCCAAAAAATTATTTTGATGGCACCTGGTCTGATTATAGTGTTGGATTCGGTCATTTAATGAAAGAGTTTTGGTTAGGTAAAGCATAAAAATAACTGATATAACAATGGTAATTTTAAAAGTGGGCTTATATTAAAAATTGATGCCTTATTGCAGGAAATGAAAGGATTTTTTCCTTAACAAATCAAGGGAACTATTCTCTTAGAGTCGACTTGAAAGACGAAGAAGGTAACAAAGTTTATGCATTATACAATGAATTCTGGATCGAAAACGAAAGACAACGATACAGACTACATGTTTCTGGTTACAGTGGAAATGCCGGTGAATTATTTTCTGAACTTTTGTTTTATTGAGTAACTTGCAACGTGACGTAATTATCTTATTTTCTTCTAGGCGATTCATTATCTGACCATAATAATTTGATGTTTACCACGAAAGATAGGGATAACGATTATTCACCAAGTAACTGTGCAGATTTATACAAAGGAGCATGGTGGTACTTTGACTGCCATGCTTCTAATTTGAATGGCCTTTATCTGGATGGTCCTCATAAGTCAATTGGTAGTGGAGTGATTTGGTATAAATGGAAAGGATATTATTACTCTATTCCGGTAGCGGAAATGAAAATGCGACGAACTTAGGAAAGTAATTATTTACAACAATTATTTAAAATAATCAAACTATTTCTATAAAAACTTTTGAATTAATGATTTAATCGTTGTGAATGTCGTAATTTATGAGAATTTTGTATTGATTTTAAACACTAAAGAAATAAATTTAATATAAAATTTGAATTGATTATTTGTTCTGAAATCTCTTTTATAGCAAAATCAACTAATCGAATAAATAGTTATTCTCCATTTGAGAAGTATGTTTTGCAATACATTCTTCTGGAGGCGCGATTACATATCTTGAATTTTATTTGTAACTGGAACTGTGAAAATATTTCTATCATTATATTCTTCATTATTTTACTAAAATAAGCATTTTGTAATATTTTTAATAATTAAAATAGGGTAGACTCTACGGCTTTAAGGAAATTATCACTACAGATTGTGAATGATTACAGATAAATTAAATTCTTAAAGAAATGAAAGCTACAAGATTTAAATTGCTTTATATCATACTTTATTGATAAACCTAACATATAGATTGATAGTACAGTAGTTATAATTAATTATAAAACCTACGTAATGACGAAATTATCCCGGTAACAGAGGTGATAACGCCAGGCCACACAGTAATGCTATCATTCATATTAATGACGCCATTACTGTGTGGCCATTTGTAAGTAAATTAATTTACTTACGATTATATAATACAGTGGAACCTCGGTATAAGACCTTAATTCGTTCCCGATGTTTAGACTTATACCGAATTGGACGTACACCAAACCAACCTTTCCCATAAGAAGTAATGTAAAAATGATTAATCCGTTCTCGTGTAAAAAAATGGCTGGCTTTAAACACCTCGGTTTCCTGTCTAGTTCCTGCTTGATTTTTCTTGAGATCAGCGTGTATCTTTTTAGCTTTCTCGCAAATAATTGCTTCCGATACGCTGTATCCAGCACTGTTTTTCAGTTATCCAAAGTAAAAGCAATTTCTCGACATGATCTAATGTGTTCGATCTCTGTTTAGAAATTGATTTAACCCCTTTCGCAACGTTAGCAGATTTAATAATGTCTTTATTTTTCGCGATTGTCCATATCGTCGTTCTCGGAATACGGTAAACAACAGTTAAAATCTCGAACACGCGTGCCACCTTCGTATTTCTCAACAATCTCTTTCATCAGTTCCATTGTGATTCTAGTCATTTTTTTAGTTTTCTGTCGCTTTTCATTTGCCTTTTTGCGATTCGTGATTAATAAAAATAATAAAATTTTTCTTACGAATTAAAATCAGAAGAAATTTAACAAAGTTATAAACCGTTGCACCGCGAACGTTTAGTCTGGTCTATACACCGATAGTGCTACTTGTTAATTGATGGCGCGTGTAATTGAATTATGTCGTATACCGAATAAAAGTCGTATACCGAGCAAAATTTGTTTCGTCCAAACAGGACGTATTCTAAAGCAGACGTATACCGAGGTACCACTGTATTTTATAATTTCTTCACTTTCAAGATGTCTTCACTGGGAAAGAAAGTTGTAATAAAATTTTTTTTACTGGTTTTTTATTTATTTATTGAAAATTGATATTGTGTAATACAAAATAATATAATGATAATGTAACAATTTTTAAAATGTTTATCAGCCATTCTCATCCTATAAAGTACTCTTTCTAATAACAGATGATGTTTGTTAATTTTTTTTTATTTTTGATGAATGAGGATTTCTTTTCAAAGAAGGCTATGATTTCACTTTTGAGGCCCTACACGTTTCAAAAGTGAAATTGCGACACCACGAAGGAATTCACATTGCAGGACCGGTAGAGGTGATAGAGATATGCAAATAATTAAAAAAAAACAAGCAAATATATGCAACAGATATCTGTTTATTCAATAACGAATATGGTCCCCGCGGGCTGCTGTATGGCGAGGCATACTATGAATGGCGATTAATGATTACCTGAGGTATCCCTTGCCAAGCTGTGTCCACTGCGGCACGCATGTCATTTACGGTATGTGGCGGTGTACCCTGGTGTATCTCACGTTGGATGAGGTGCCAGGAGAAGGATCCGGCGAGGCTGTCGACCAGGAAAGGATGTGAATTCTGTTCATGCTGGTGAAAGTTTACCATGCGGCGTGTGGTAAGGTCTAAGTCTTGCTGGAACACTGTGTAGGGTACTGCCTGCAGCAGTGGCCGAACCACAGGCCCAACATTTTGTGTGGATATACTGTTCCACTGTCAGAATACCGGAAATGTACACCAGGACTGTCCACTGATCGAAAATGATCCCCAAACCATGATTCCTGGTGTGGGCTGGTGTGATACTCGGTGAAAAAGTTGGCACGTGGCGTTCTCTGGGATACCACCACCCCATCCACAGCCGTCATTCCTCCATAGATTCGCAAAGAAGCGTGATTCATCTATAAACAATACCCGATGCCATTCAGTGGTCCAGTTACGATGATAACGACATAGCCAGTGCATCCCTGTGTCGAGAGGTTAATTAATGGTATCCCATTGCTGGTAGCCGTGCGTACAGCCCGACTTCATGCAACTTGTGCGAATGGTTTGGGTGGACGCAGAGGCACCCGTTGACGGCAACATCCGAAGCTGCCTGTTCGGTGAATCTGCCGGTCTGTGCGCTCTGTCGTGTCCCTCTTCGTGTTTACAGATGTTCCCGCGTCCATTTTGTCACACATCGCTAGATGATTTTCACGTCGTGCCCAATACGCATGGCAACTGCGCGCCTCGACAAACCGAAGTCGCTCAGCTGCAGGATACGGTCTTGTTCCCCAGTTAACTGGTTGTATTCAGCTGGCTGTCATCTCTGAGGCATTTTCTACGCTTCTTCGAAAGTTCGGCTGCCGAAAACATCACTGATAGCATTTACAGTTCGAGTCGGCTGCTGGCCTTTATAGCCCGAAACTGGGTACCACATGATCCAATGCGTACTCAAACTTAAGCATTTGCATATCTCTGTCACCTCTACCGGTTCTGCAATTTGCATGTGGCTACGCGCATTCTTTCGTGGTGTTGCTATTTCACCTTTGAGGAGTGTAATAGGTGCTTTAATTCTGTTTTTAAAAATTGGACGAGGTATTTTAAAACCGCGTGGAACCTTTTTACTGAAGACTTACCTGTAACGATTCTTGAAGTCGCTCTATAAAAATTTTGTCGGTCCTGTGGGTCGAGTTCAGTTATGTTTTCCCCAAGACTTCAAGACCTTTTTATCTTCATTCGAAAGGGGAACTTGTACGTGAGGCTCGTCTTCGTCCAGGTGTTCTGATTCTTTTCTTTGAACGGTCCTCACAATCAATGACCAAATCTCATTATCTTACCCCCCTTCTAATGGGTTAGAGCAGTATCGCCAAACTTTTCGATTGGTGGGCAAAATTGTATACAAATCGCAAGTAGACGTTTCACAAATACTTTTTATTTTTCATATACAGTGATACTTCATACAATAAATTACCAAACGATCGCTTTGAGTTGTTATTTATAGATACTCCGTACTTCGAACGATTATAACTTCGAATGCTTCAGAGTTCGAACGCAAAATTTAAAAAATTCATCTCGGAGTTCGAACGATGCTTCGATGTTCGAATTGCGCACGCAGTGAAAAAAATGTGCTCGAAACATAAACGCAATCTCTTTTGTGTCCAAGTCGTCTTTTACTCTTGCCCTTGCGTTATGCTTGTATGTTTTTAGTGCCATTTCCGCTTTCTTTGTGATGTTTGGTCATTTATACTACAGATTAACACACAGATGGGACACGGTTATAGTAAAATTGGCTTTGCTAAGTGCGCGCGGTACTGTGGGTAATCCCTAGCGGCAAATACGGTAAACTAGAGTGTTATTTCATGATCTGCATGCAAAGTTTTGAAATTTTATCAAGAAATTAAACAATAATGAAAAATGAAAATTATAATGCATACAGAAAAATCCATTCTCAATGGTATTCAACTATAAACTGTTGAATTTCACTTGGAAAAAATCCTGATTTGTCCTGATTTCACATTTCCTAAGGAAAACGATAGGCGAGTAAAAGCACAAATCGATACTTAACATAAATAAAGTAAAATTAGGTTACTGTATGTTAATTCTTTTATGTTTTTGTAGATGTAAAAAATGGATTGTCAGTCGTCGCTCTGATCTTGATAAAATTCCAATGGGTCAAATAATAGAAAAACTTGTTTTATGTGAAGAACACTTTGAGACAAATCAATTTATGAAGCCAAAAGAAAAAGGTGTTAGGAAAAACATGATAAACAGATTATTTGATATTTGTAAGTTATCCAGTATAAAACACTGCAACAAGTTTAAAGGGGCAATAAGTAAAGAAAATGAGCATTCAAAAGTGATCATGAATTGGATCTATATGTTTAAAAAACTTGAAATAATTGGCTATTAAACTAAAATTGTGTGAAGGATGATTCGCTCATTAAATGTAATTGTAATGCTTTATACATACTTAAAAAATTCATATAATCAAACAGTATTACGAACAAGACGTTTAGGACAAAATTGCTTAGAAAACACATTTAATTTAGTTAGGCAAAAAGGAGGATTCAATGATAATGCTAATTGTTTAAAATTTGCACAATCATTTTTCAAGTTAGTTTTAAGGTTGTAATGCAGTCTCACACAAATTCGAATTGTCAGTTTGATTCAGCTAAATTTCTTCATAATTTGTCAAATATAAACTTAAATTAATTTAAAAAATTAACAGAATCGCTAAATACTATTGAGAAAAATAATATATCTAATATGATAAATAATAAATTGAAGCAGACAGTTTAAATTATATAAATCAATATAAACCAGTAACAAACAGTATGTTGCATATATTGCAGGTAGGCTAGCTGAAAAAATTCTGAGTAAACACAAAGATTGTAAAATGTTAGAAAGTTGTGTATCTGACCTTTGTCTCTGTGATCGTCGCGCCCTCCCCTCTGCTATGTGTGGGGTCTGTTATGTTCGTCAAGGGAATTGTANTACACTCAGACTGCGACAACACGTCAGTGTGAATACTTGGTTACCGAGATTCGCTTTGTCGTTGACCAATAAAACCTTACGTCGTGATTTTTTGATGAAATTACAAGTGGTATCAACATTAAAACAATGAAATTATATGCTATATTTTATAATTAAACCAAATTTATATAGTCTATTTCAGGGCCGGCGTGGCCTTTTGCGGGGCCAGAATACATTCAAATCCTATAATTAAATTTCACAATAATTATTTACTATAAGTACAAAGGATGTTACATACATTTTTTGTAAGATGAATATTACATAATTTTTCATGCTTTTTTCGCTGCAAAATCTTTGATTACGTCATTAAAATTGATTGAGTTCGCTACTTCGCTTTCTATTGAAAGAATAGACAGAGATATAAATCGGTCTTGACTTATTGATGATCGAAGATAATTTTTTATTAGTTTCAACCGCGAAAAACTAACGCAGTATCTATTATTTTCAAAAAATAATGTATACGGAAGTATTCTTCGTCGCAACACGCTGCAACGAAATATTCAATGTAAAGGCGGGAGAGAAAATCTTGTACTCATGCCAGTGTACAGCAAGTTATCATCGATTAGTGGATTATGCGATTGCATTTTCCACACACACCTGAATATTCAATCTACTATAAAAGGGGTCCTGCAAAATGTCTGATGAGTTTTCGTACACCGCAGGGCCGGGTTCCAGCGAACGCGCTGGATCTGCCTCGCGCCGGCCCTGGTCTAGTTTATTAAAGATTTGTTTGTTTGTATTTTTAGAATGAAACAACGCAAAAAGTAATCATAAATTTTTTCTCTACTTGGTTTTTAGAAGCATGTGCTTTGGGGCATAATGGGACGGTTTCCCTTAAAGGAAAATTAAAAGAAAAAGGGGAAAAAACAAAGTTTAGTAAAAAAAAGAACAAGGAACGATTACTTGGAAGGAGAAGATAATACGACTTGTCTTTACTGCACCGAGGCTTACTCAGTCGATTGAGGGTTAATGTTCATGTGTAGCATGCAAAAAATGGGCTCATATGTCTTTTGCGGGTTTTGACAGCGACGATGACGATTCCGTGCTGGTTTGCGAGTTTTGTAAGCAACAAGATTAATATATTTTTTTCCCCCTGATATTTCAGCACTAATCTCATACCCCATTCTGCCCCCAAGTACTGGGCGGAACGGAATGTGGGCAAGCTTTTTTTCATGATTTATTTTTCATACAAAATTATTAAATTTTTTTATTTAATTTAAATAATTATGTGCCAAATATAATAAATAAAAGATATAATGTAATATATTTTTGTTATTTTCCTTTTATTGCTGACACAATTTTAATTTTTTTGTTAACTACCCCATTCCGCTTCGGGTTTCCATAAATGTATGAAATATTTAAATACGAAAATAAAAATATAAAAGAAAATGATGACATTGCAAAGATATTAAAATAATAAATAATAAGATTTTTGCAATGTTGTCATTTTGATAAGTTGATTAATTAATATATGATAAAATAAAATTATCAGAAAATGTTTTGTTCTGTAAAAGATATAAATTTAAATTATTGCGTTTCGAAAATGCGAACATCAATCTATGTGTTCTTGATTGCCATTTTGTTCTGGTATCCAAGATTTATCTTTTGTTTTACATTCTCAGAAAATTCTTGCACCATATCGAAGTTAAAAATATGCACACCAGATGTTCCTGATAATGGTACGTATGAAATTATTTACTTTAATCATCAATAAAATTATTTAAGTATTGTACATTTAAATTACCGAAATGATTAATTCTAGATGGTTTAACAAGACCTCAACAAACTGTTAATTATCATCTCGGTCCCAGAGATTGTTCTGAAATTCGAAATAATGGTGTTACTAAATCTGGAGTTTATAGAATTTGGCCATTAAACTGGCAAATCTATGGTAGTTTTCAAGTTNTGTTACCTTCGACATTACCCTCCATTATATCCAAACCCTGACATAAAAAATGTTAAAATTATTTGATAAATGATTGTGCAAATTTTCTATCAAGCGATCAAATGTTTTTGTTTTTCAAAGAGTTAGGTAGCGGAGGAAGTGAACGTAATGAAAAATTAACTGTACTTACAACTAATTGGATGCCTTATCTACATGTGAAAAAAATTTGTAATAATTGTCTACTAAAAATTTTATATTTGCATTATATTACGAGTAGATTATTAGACTAACGATTGTCATGTATTAATTGGAATTGGTTTACAGGATGTACACATATTTTGTAATATGAGAACTTTTCATTTCGTTAAAACAACTAATGAAAAAGAAAGTGCAAAAACTTTGTAAAGGAAAAAAGAAAAAATGCTAAAGAAATCAAATAAAAATAAAGTTTAAGTTTATTGCAACAATTCATTTTGCTTCACGCAAGAACTTTCATTTTTTAATTATTGTGTTTTTATTCGTCTTTCATCACTAAAGTTTGAATTAAAAATGTCTTCAGTAACCGATATAATCAATAGCTGTTTTATTAATCGCAGTCGGCTTGCTATAGCTGTGAGGACCCAAACGGGGTCCGAAAGGAGGCCATTAACGACTTTTTAAATGAGTCAAGTTTCGTAGCGCGAAAGAACGAACTTAAAGATCGGATTTAAACAATGAACCTTTTGTCTTGTTAAAAGATTTTAAACATTAGATAGAGTAAAGTCGAAGAAAACGAGGTTGGAGAGGAGTCGTGTTCCGACGCGAAGTTGACCTCTCCCGCGCCCTTCCTGGGGTTTCGAATTGTCACCATGTGACGAGGAGAGACCAATGGAGAGGCGACTGCGGTGGAAAAATGGATAAAACCGCGTTTTCGGGAACTTTACGGGGTCTTGGGTTTTGGTGTATAGTGCTCACCTGTCGGGATTTGGTGCTCCCGACCGGGACACAACGAAGGCTCTTTCGACGACCTAGGAACTGGTTTCGCCAACCCGTCCACTCTAGGATCGCCGAGGTCACGTCCAGAATCGCCGAGGTTCGACTTGTCAACCGAGGACATCACTACAAGTGCTGGTGCGTGCCCCGGGGCCATCGTTCTCTGCGTCCACAGTGCCGAAAGCTCCCCAGGGACGATCGAACATTCGAACTTTCCGATTTTTGGGAACTGTTGCAGAAACCCCTCGTTGGATAGGCTTCTGCCCGACTTATTGGATTGTTGTAAGAGCGATTTATGTATATTATTAAACGGTTTTATATGGTAAACCTGTCTCAGTTACTGTCTCGGTACTAAAACCGCGCCCACACGACAGTATTGACCGCTCGGCTGTCGAAAACACCTCACCCCTAATCGGCTGACCTCACATAGCCGTGTCCCACCTGGGTGTTAATCTGTGTTTATACTGTATTGTGTGTTATTCGTCAATTTTTAATAATTTTTTCCTGCAATTTTTCTTTATCGATAACTTCTTAGAGACCATACGTTTTGTATTCTTTAGGTCAAAATTTACCGAACGGAACTGTAAACCATATGTGTAAACCACATATCTGATTGTAATTTCCCATTCACATTACAATTTTTTTTGTTTAACTGTTTGTACGGAGTTATATTCTTCCCGAAACTCATAAAGTATATGCCTAATATGTTTTTTATCCGAAGACATTACTTCACATTTTATTTGAATAAAATCAAGTTGTAAACAGTTTAAAGTAAGATTCTAAACAAAGAATAAAATCTCACATCTACCACGTATGTTTAGATAAGAAAGTTTACGGTGTGCAACCAATAAATGCAATTTAATTTTATTATACAGTATTTACGTATTTTATTTATGGTTTTCATGTTTTAATTTATTGCTAGGGCATTAATTGTGTTATTTTTACCTTAAATTATGCGTATTTGCTGTTTTAGGTTTATCGAAATAGGTATTGTTTAAGGTCTGGAAATGAATTAATTCACTCCGTTATTTCTAATGGAAAAAATTGTGTCTTTCACCTCTTGGTGGTTCACTTGACTAGAGGCCCGAACGAAGCCACGATGGCTTCAGTCAGGCTCCATCGATGGCTATGAGGAAAGGTCCACTTAGTGCTCACTGAGTGGAAAAATTTTAAATTAAAAAAAATTGTGTACTGGCACAATGAAGTGACGTTTTTCTCAACACTGGGCTAGTTGAATCTTTTATTTAGTTAGAACGTTTTTTTCATACATCAACGTTTCGGGCATCAGCCCCTCTTCAGCTAACTAAATATATATAAAAATATTTAACAGGACACAAATAAAANGTATTTTATTTTCTCTTATATTACAAATTGTATCTATGTCTTTTCTCTGTAAATGCATTAAAAGTTTCATAAAATGAAGTATAATCGTTTAAATAGGCCTATATACTAATTGGTTTCAATAAAGAAAATTCAAATAAACAGAGAACTTGTGTGTTATTAGTTTAAGATTACTTTATTCAAATTAAGTGCAAGTTCCAAAAAGTTGTTTCACAATGTTGTCATTTTGATAAAATTGAGAACAAGAGATAAAGAGTATTATCGCATAATATTTTCTCTTATAAAAGATACCACAAAATATTATTTTTAAAACTGTTTCAAATATGCAGACTTCAATTTACGCATTTTTGATTGCTATTTTTTGCTATTCAAATAATATTTTATGTTTGACAAGCACTAAACATTCCTGCGCTTTGTCAGAGTATGGAGGATGTTTAAAAGAAATTTCTAACAATGGTACGTATGAAATGAGTAATTATTACGATTAAGTACCTAATAAATGTATTTAAATTAGTGAAATGATTAGTTATAGATACGTTAACAAGACCTCAACAAACTGTTCATTATCATCTCGGGCCCAGAGATTGTTCCGAAATCCGAGAAAACGGTGTTACTAAATCTGGAATTTATAGAATCTGGCCTCTGAACTGGCATATTTCTGGTAGTTTTCTGGTTTATTGCGATATGGAAATTGATGGTGGTGGATGGACAGTACGTAAAAAGTTTTCTAATATTTAATAACTTTTCAATATTAAAAATATTAAATTTGAAAATCCCTTGTTTCAGATTTTCCAAAGAAGAGGAAGATTTAATCATTCAGAAGATTATTTTTTCAGAAATTGGATTGATTACAATGTTGGATTTGGTAACTTAAATGAAGATTTTTGGTTAGGTGAAGTGTTAAAAACTTATAATAATACGGTTTGCGAATTAATAATTCGTCAATTTTTATTAAAAATTTTTTTTTACAGGAAACGAAAGAATATTTTCTTTGACAAATCAAGGAAATTATACTCTTAGAATTGACATGAAGGACAATGAAAATAACAAGGCTTACGCATTGTATAGAGAATTCTGGATCGAAAACGAAAGGCAACAATACAAAATTCATGTTTCTGATTATAGTGGAGATGCCGGTGAGCAGTTGTTGAGATGCTTTTATAAATTGGTAACTTTCAATGTCTTAATAGTCATATCGTTTTCTTCTAGGTGATTCTTTAGGTGGTCACAATAACATGAAGTTTTCTACGAAAGACAGAGACAACGATATTGCAGGGGGCAACTGTGCAGAAACTTATAAAGGTGCATGGTGGTATAGTAGTTGTCACTCTTCTAATTTAAATGGCCTTTATTTGAATGGTCCTCATAAGTCCTACGCTGATGGAGTGATCTGGAAGGAATGGAAAGGTTATCATTATTCTATACCCGACGTTGAAATGAAAATACGACGATTTTAACAAGAAAGGTCATCGAATAAACTATAAAAATTTTTGTAAACGGTAAAAAATTTGCGAATTGGTTATTTTGGAATAGAATCTTCTATTAAAACGTTTATAGAATCATAATAAAATACATTTATATTCACTGTTTGAAATGCATGTTTTATGGCACAACCTTCTGAAAATATAATTATCGCTTTTCAAATTTTATCTGTAAATTGAATTAGTAAAATGCTTGATAATAAATTTTCTACGTTTATATCTTTATTGTGAATTACTATATTTTATAGTATTAAATATATGGATATTTTACTTTTAGATTACGAATGTGCTTAGGATTGTCTGTTTTCTTAAAGACATGTTATGAATAAATATAAATATTTGTACCTTATAAACATGTTTTTTAATTTGATTAATTGCTTGTAGTACATTTATCTAAACATTACTACATATAATTTTCAACTGTATTTATTAAATAATTTTACAAAATTTAATGTACTTATTCTATATAAAATACATATTTTTAATAAATTTCAAAATTTTACAACTATACGAAGATATTTTATTTATTAATGATATTTTTAAGACGATTTAAATAAAATCTAAAAGTAAATTGCATAAACCAGTGGTTCCCAACCTTTTTTCATTTGCGTACCCCGTGACATATCATATCTCTAGATTGTACCCCTCATTTAAGAAATTTAGTGAGTAACCGTATTGTTAATTTTACATATTGTAACTTTAAATTAAAGAAAAAAAAACTAAAAGAAAAAATTTATAATAAAGTTGTGATTGTTGCAAGGAATATTTTTTATCTAATAATTTTTTAATACTATTAGTTTGTGATACATAATATATTATTTTTTCTGCCATAATAACTAACTTTTTTCTGTACCCCTAAACAACCTATCGCGTACCCCTAGGGGTACGCGNGCATAAACTATTGAAATGCAAGATTTTTTAAAATATTCTTTGTTCTTTCTTTTATTATGAGACTGACCTGTTTGGATAATTGGTCACAACATGAAAAAAATTGCGCCCACTTTTGTAATTAATAATGTAATTTAAGTGAATTTCTTTCCCACTAAGTATTGTAAACTGATTATACAGTATTTTAAAAACATTAAAATAAAACTTGAAAGTAAAAAAGACGTAAAGACATTTTAATATGACTTTAGTTGAACGTATGCAATTATAATAACGTCCTACACAACTTTGTATTATTTTAGTACTGCATTAAAAAGATTAGAGAAAGTTTATCGCCCCACTGACTTACTCTATAATGTCAAAATTCCATAAATGAGTCATCAGTTTCCATTGTTGAAAATTATATTATGTCTTAGAAATCAAAAGGGAGAAAATAATTTGTAAAGAGAAAAATGATATCTTTAACTGAGAAGTTACAAGCGAATTTTTAAAATAAAACTGTTGCAGTGTTAGATCAATGAAAATTAAATAAATTCAATAATTAGAACCAATGGGATCGGTTATTCAATAATCACTAAAAATAAATATTTTCAGTTAAAAACAAGTAAAAAAAAAAAACTATAACTGAAAACATTTATTTTTAGTGATTAAAGTTAAATAAATAAATAAATATACAACTCCCAGACAAAATGTTAGAATATTCACCTAACTAAAACTTTAGTGTACATTTAATCATGAACAACACAGAATACGAAACTTTTTTTCAANATAAATAAATATACAACTCCCAGACAAAATGTTAGAATATTCACCTAACTAAAACTTTAGTGTACATTTAATCATGAACAACACAGAATACGAAACTTTTTTTCAAGTAAAGTTCAGAATTTCAACCGTTTCGTTCGAACGTTCCGTGCGCCAATAACATAATAAGTTCTAATAGTTCTTGTTTCTCGTACTTGTCCTTCAAGAAGACATCTTGCGACGACCGACGAATAGTTGTCTAACTGTGGCACTTTCTTCGGCTAGCGAGACGAATCCACACTTTGATCCAAACTTCGATGCAAACTTGAATTTGACGCTTTCACGTCGACCTTTATATAAGCCTGGTACTCACATGCGGCAACGGACGACGGAAACCGTTGACAGAACGGCAACATGACATCACTTTTGCCGTCGAAACCGGCGGAATACGAAGTTGAAAATTTTCAACTTTTGCTGTGGCGGAAAGCGGAACGGCAAAAATTAAACCAATAGGAAGGCCGTTTAGCAATGTCGTCATAAGATCACGTGGGACGATAGCATTCGAACTATGGCAGTGGCAAACTAAAAAGCTATATTTGTACACTAATACGCTAATACTGTATATTTCATTTATACGCTATATTACTATCCGATTTAAATATTGATGTTAAATAGACTTACTTTCGACGATTTAGAATATTTTACTATCCAAATTATTCGTTTTTGAGGTTTTTTTATTTGCAATAAGATCGAAGGCAAACTTAAAAAGTTTAATTGAAAATGGCGTCTACTGGAATTATAACAAAGTAATTCCAGTATACGCCATTTTCGACTACTGGCACGTAGCCTACCTACTGTAGTAGCTTGTTTATATTTATGGCTGGCAGATGGCGCGTTTCAATTGTAGGGTAATTTCCGCATGTGAATACACGCGACACGGAAAGTTTCTGTCGTTCGTTTTGGCATGTGAGTACAAGGCTATAGTCGCAGCGTTGTCAGATCTGATGGTTAAAAAGTAGCGTGGTTGTGCTCAAAAGTAGCGGATTTGAACTGTTTGTAGCCCAAACAATAAAAATGAATTATTTTGCAAGTATGCACTTTTACTAACGCAGTGGTTCTCAACTTTTTTTGTTGATGTACCCCGCTCCAGTAGACAATCCACAACTTCACAAGCAAGGAGGCGACCTTGCTTGTGAAATTGTGGATTGTCTACTGGAGCGAACGACGGATGGAAAACGAAAGCAAAGTATCTTTATCTTTGTTAAACGTTGCAACTTTATACAATTAAGTGTAATGAAATTAAAATTTTTGCATAATACAATAAATGTTTTGCGATTTTATATATGAAAATAAAAAAGTAGCGTATTTTTAAGATTTGTAGCCTGAAGATAATTATCACTAGCCCAAAAAGTAGCGTGTCGCCCAATTTGAAATTTTTGTAGCGAGGGCACTTAAAAAGTNGGCACGTAGCCTACCTACTGTAGTAGCTTGTTTATATTTATGGCTGGCAGATGGCGCGTTTCAATTGTAGGGTAATTTCCGCATGTGAATACACGCGACACGGAAAGTTTCTGTCGTTCGTTTTGGCATGTGAGTACAAGGCTATAGTCGCAGCGTTGTCAGATCTGATGGTTAAAAAGTAGCGTGGTTGTGCTCAAAAGTAGCGGATTTGAACTGTTTGTAGCCCAAACAATAAAAATGAATTATTTTGCAACTATGCACTTTTACTAACGCAGTGGTTCTCAACTTTTTTTGTTGATGTACCCCGCTCCAGTAGACAATCCACAACTTCACAAGCAAGGAGGCGACCTTGCTTGTGAAATTGTGGATTGTCTACTGGAGCGAACGACGGATGGAAAACGAAAGCAAAGTATCTTTATCTTTGTTAAACGTTGCAACTTTATACAATTAAGTGTAATGAAATTAAAATTTTTGCATAATACAATAAATGTTTTGCGATTTTATATATGAAAATAAAAAAGTAGCGTATTTTTAAGATTTGTAGCCTGAAGATAATTATCACTAGCACAAAAAGTAGCGTGTCGCCCAATTTGAAATTTTTGTAGCGAGAGCCCTTAAAAAAGTAGCCCAATCCGCTACTTGTAGCCAATCTGGCAACCTGGTCGTGGACAGTTGTCAGTCGACCAATCAGCGGCTATGCTAGTCATAGCTTTATCCCAGGTTCGCCATATGGCATGATCTTTTGCTAAATGTCTCTCATTTGAGACGCATGCGCTCAGTGGCGTACCGTAGTGGGAGCGGCAGAGACGGCCCGCCCCGGGCGGCACTCTTTAGGGGGCGGCAAAATTTCACAATAAATAATAATATCTTGTAAAAATTTGAAACATCTTAATCTATAGTTCCATCGCGTCTACGATAGTGCTATCGTCCGGACAGTCCGGGAATCGGGCCCGCCGAAAAAATTACTAGTTCAGCCGACCCGCCGGCTGAACTAGTAATTTTTTCATCCGAGGAAATCCTTCTAAACCTGTTGACCCCCTTTTTTTTGCTTGTACGATTCATTTGCGTTCATATACACCACTAATATCCAATAGAACTATTTTAACAAGTCACTGCACTGCCGCCGAATTTTTCATTGCTTGTTCTGTGACAAAACTGAATTTTGGTCTTTTAATGTCGCGCTTACGTTCCATGTTGTACTGTTATATTGCTCTGCCCAGCAATATGCAAATTGGCATTACAATTTAGTTTTTTTTATGGCTGTTTATGCTAATATTCTAATATTTTTCTCATAGTCAAACTGTTCTTCTATTTTTTTGTCATTTCATTTCCATTTGTAACAAAAAAATTTGAGTTAATTTGTTTGATTAATGGATATAATAAATATATATAAGAACTCTTTATGTAAAGTCAAAAAAATTTGTACTCTGTGTTGTTCATGAGAACATGTACAATACTGTACACTAAACTTTCAGTTAGGTGAATATTCTAGTTTTTTGTCTAGCAGTTGTAGTACTGTATATACATCAATAACCAGTTTATTAGGAATATTTACATAATATTATCCAAATTTTATTATAGTTATGAATTTAATGTAAGTGGGACAATATTTTTGCTGAACCATTTAGTGTGATGTTTTCAAGCAAATTGTCCAGTACAAAAATATTTTTCAAAATACACACGTGCTAACGCGACTTTCGCCAATATGGTAAAGTTTTTGTTTTCTGACAGGTTGTATAACAAAACATTATGTAACTTATTAAACAGAATAACAGAAGTATTAGTATAACAGATTTATTAAATGTTATAATATCGTTTGTGAACTAAAAACACTCTTTAAAATTTTAAATAAAATAGTAATTGAAATTAAAACTTTCAGCCATTTAAAGTAATATTTCATAATAATTGAGAGTAATGTAACATACTACAAATTGTATATTCTAATGAATAATTGTGTTGCTTAATAATCTTTTTATTATAACAGAAAAAATAAAGTTGAAGTGATATTTTTATTTTTTTGTCTACTGTTTAATAAATTTTTATAAATATATTTATTTAATTCCCTATAAAAATAATAAAATTTGATTT